CAGATGTAATAAACTTATACTTATACTTATACTTATTAAAGAGTTCCATTGGGGTCGATAAGTTGCTACAAAACCACTGGGAGGACAAAAGCACTGAATGCAACATCAGCTGGTCTCCCACAAATTATTGCATAGGCGGCTGAATCAGACATCAAATGGCACGCAATTCTGAATGAAAGTGAGATGCCAGGCGCATCCCAGAAAACTCAATCACACCGCAATGTTTTATTCCTTAGGTTTTGCGCCTCACCTGTGCAACACTCCCGAAGCTGACCAGAATGAACGGCTTTGTCGTGAGTGATGGCCATTCCAGCTGTGGAAATTCCTCCGAAATAGAGTTGAACCGTTTCTTCACCTTATCGGCGGTCACGCCCTCATAGAGCCAAGCCCTTCGGCGTTTTGTGGGTCCTTTAACTGCCGCTGATTTCGACGAACAAACACAATTGATGAAAGACAGTGGCACAGTAGTCGAATTGGCTCCTATTGGATTGTCCGTGGAGTTGTTCAGGTAACGCAACCCAGTCGTGGGAGCTCTGCAGCTGACGCGGTTGTTTTTGTTCACATCCTCTCCAGGTATTACTGTCACATAGTCTCTCGGATTCCTTAACAAGGAGACTGATTTGCGATTACAAGGCGCTCGCGCGTAAAATCAATATCCATCTTATAACGTAGGCGCTCCCACATTTTACTGACACCGCCGAAATGCTTCACACGATTATTGATTGGTCGAATGACATCGAATAGAAATTCTGAACGACCTGCATAAATCACTCTTTCGGCTTCCGATTGAACAATTTCAACCTGGAACAAGGCAGAATATTGATTTGTCAGAAATAAATTCAACGGGTGAATGCTTACCTGAGGGAATCCTTTCCGTGCGAACATGCTATTCAAAACATAGATTTGAATATATCTCGTTAAAACAATGATGGAATGGAAAAGTGAATTGCCGACACGTTGACCAAACGTCATTCCATAAGCACTATATGGTGTTCCTATAGTACAACAAATGGCACCCAAAAACTTCTTTCTGCACTTCATTCGGGCACTTGCACTTGACAATTGCACTCTTAGGAAGGCTGAACTCAAGTATCAATCAAACGCAGTGAGTAATATAATTTGATGGTGATCAAGTATGAAAGAAGAGCTACCAGCAGGTGCACCGAACACTGTGGTAAAAATCAGGAGAAATCGCCGAAAAACCCGAGGAGAGGCACCCTGTTTCTGCCCATTGACTTTGTGCCACTTTATGATGCACTCCAGATACTGCCTGCTTGTGTAAATGTATCCCTCTGGAAAATAAGAGGCGAGCACAAAATCCAACAACCCATTTGGAGGCGGGGTTTCGCAGGTGAAGCAAAGTGTTGGTAGGGAACTTGAGGGCACTTGGGTAAGAAGGTGGAGAAGAGGAATCGCGCACAACATGACATCTGAGACCTTTTTTGGCAGATTTATCATACTCACTGGAAGGATTCTTCCACCTAAACTCATTCTAGGTTGTCACTTTAGATGAAGATTTTAGGTTAAGCTGGTTTTCAAGAGAGGTTGGAGATTGAGAAACGGGAAATGTGCCTAGTGGAGAATCAGGCGGCCACTCAAAGGTAGGGTGCGGTACGCATTCTGGTAGCGAAGGGTATGTTCCTAGCGGCCTAGTAGGACCGCATCCGCGCCGCTGCGTTCCCAGCGACTGGCTGACTGTTGCTGTTTGACTCTAGCGGTTTTAATAGAAAAACGTGCTAGCACTGATTGCGGTTTTAGTAGCCGGATGATAAGAATGCCCAGTGAGCTGAACGAACGGCCATAAGGGATCATTCCTCAGATTCTGGGCACCTTTCATGATTCTTCTTTATCCCTGCACTACTACCCACCTCTATACACCACCACTATGATTTTGATGGGCTGCTTTCTTTTTTCTCCCTTCAACTGACAATCGATTAGCCATCACGAGTCACTTCGCACATCATCCTAATCATTCCTTTTCAATCCTCCCGAATCCTCGAGAAATTCTTCCAAAAAGAAAGGCTTGATTGCTCCAAACGAGTTCCAATTGCCAAATCTGGCCTCAAACATGTAATTGGAAGTGGAAAGTGAAAGGCCATTCAATAAAAGGAAAAGAAATCGCTAAATTTGTAGTTGTAAAAAGTGGAGAGAATTCTTCTTGATACTTTTATCTTTTGTAGCTGCATTGCTTCGTAAGCGTAATACTAGTTGCTGGATGGCGCCACATCTACATATTCTAACTGGCCGTTGGAACATGGAAGTAAACCGATGGTCCTCTGCCCTGGAATCTCAATTCCAGACAGGCTACGGATTGCTATCAAGTGTTGCCTTGATAAATGGATTTATTCAATAAGATTCTTATGTCGATTTTATCCGTCGTTAATCTTAATCTTAGGTAATTGTTCTTTTTCTCAGGGTGACCTTATATTATGAAACGGTGCAAAAATCGAAAAATAATTACAAAAAAGTTCGAAGAAAAGCTGCTCCCACCAAAATTGCGATACAGGGGTTATTCGTAGTGGGGAATCATTTGGTGATAGTGGAAAAATCACCAGTTGGCTGCTGGTCCCGGAAATGCAATATTTTAGGGTGACCTTATAGTTATGAAACATGAGTGACTAAGCGTATTTTCATTTCCTTTAAAGTCTACTTTTTTTTTTTCGCCATCACATGCTATTGTTGAGTTTCTTGGCCCGACCGTCCTCTGCCGTCTTCTGTCGTGCCTCTATGGAATTGTTTCAGTACGTCTTCTTACTTGAAGTTGCGGACAGCTTCAAATCTCCTTTTTTTAATGCATAATCCTTTGCTATCCTACAAGCTGATCTTATGTGGTAAATGGTGGTCTTCATATGATATACGCTCAACTTTACCCTGTTCTTGTTGGATGGCACTTAAAGTATTTTGCTTTGTCACGTTATTAGCGACGTGATGTTAGCTATCGCTGATCGGCTCTCAGTAGACTTATGTATCCCTTACTTTGTTGGAGCGGAAATTCAATGAAGAAAACGTCCGATACTCACCCATACACTCCTGATATTAAGTAGCACAATTTTTGAAGGTTAATGCTTAAACATTTCGGCGTTGATGTACAAATCTTCGTCTTCTGGATGTCCGTCTCGCTACCATTTCTTAATTACAATTTTCATATTCGTAGTGATCTATTTTGATTCATTTGATCTGTTATACTGGCGTCTTTGTAGGCTTTAGCTAATTGTCAAGTCATGTTGTTTGTTTTTGTTTATACTCATCTGGTAAAATGTGTAGTCAGGCTAATCGGTATTACTAGGTGAGTGATAAGGATAGGGGCGTCCGTTGTGTACGCGAATTTCGAATCCCCGAATCGCAGGCATGGTAAACTGTGCCAGTTGCCACTACAATGCTTTCACCACTAAAGGCTCCCTAGAACCTGAAGCGGGCAGTTTGTTGAAGCTTTTGGTCAACTATGATGAACATCTCGTGAAGAGGCCGCGAGAAGCATGAGCTCGCCCTCTACAGGTGGCTGCGGCCAGAGTCAACCCTGCGTTGCGCAGTTCGCAACGGCACGTTGAGAGATCCTCAACGCACGCTGTATGGGCGGAGACGCAGACGGCTCGAGCATGCGAGTGTGAATGTTCGCGCGAGAGAACGTGTCTAATCGGGCGAAACTGCGCAACGTGGCCGTTGAAAACTGCGCAACGCAGGGTTGACTCTGGCTGCGGCGGGGCCTTCACATTTCATAGTTTCGATTTCGATAACCCTGTCTGAAATAGGGCATGGTATTCGAAAACTTTGGAGTATAATAAAGCAAAGTAGTGGACCAAGCGATCACAGAGGCCTGCAACACGCAGGTGAGGAGAAATTTCAGCTGCACTGTGTTACAGGTAACTTTAACTATTCGCTACGTTTTATTGCGTCAGAGATGGGTAGCTGTCAGTATGGTGCTGAACACTCAAAGGCCTATGCCCGAGCTAGAGAGGGCAGGGAGAACGAAAAATAAAGATGCCTTGGTGAACATCGTTCGTCCTTCTTATTTTTCCCAGCTTTCAAGTCATCCCTTTGATGCGCGAACTCCTCCCCCCACCCCATTCCGGAACCCTTCTCGCAAAAAATCGTCTTAAGCTGTACCTGCAAGAAGTGATCCAACAGAACAACGTCGGCACGCTGAGTTCGCAAGTACTGTAGGAAGCGCTGATCGTCCAACATTCGCTCACAGTGCGTTTGATGTCGTTCGAGCATACTGAAGCAAGTGCTGTCCTCGATTGTTACCATCTGGCGCCAGATAGCATGATCTTACTCGAAAAAGCTGAAACTGCCTCGTAGGTCCCATGGTCGATCGAAGTCTGTCGGCACATTCTGCTCCCACACAAGGCTTCCCGCTGCATGCATAACTTTTGCACCTGGAAAGTGAGCGGTTGTTTTAAGTTCGTTTCGGTCAGCAAGCGTCAGAGAAATGAGGGTGTAAAAGCCATTGCAATGAATCAATCTCTTAGCAGAAAACTTTTCTTAGAACTGATCGAAAAATCTGACCTACGTAGAAAAATTCGCACTTCCGATGGTGAGTCAATCATCTCAAAATTTTCAAGCACATATTCATTGCATGGCCTACTCCGAGAAATACAAACGTCCCACTCTAAATGTGGAAGACACACAGCCTGAAGTTGGACAAAAGGTGGTCAAATCTGCACACTGCTCTGAAAGGCATAGTCCTGGAAAGGCATGTTCATCTGTTCCACCAGGTAGTGGTAGACAGGGGGACAAGCGTTGGTGTCGTGACGTTGAGGCTTCAAAGGCGATAGGAGTTTGGTGGAACCGCAGCCCACACACTGGTCCGCAACCACTCGTCGGCTGCCACGCTCCGAGCGGTTGCGGCAGCGTTGGGTCGATTCAGACTTTGTGAATCCTGCGATACGCTAGCGAGTCGCGAAATTCGGAGAGGTCGATCTTGGCGGTAAAACTACAGAAAAAATGCCAAAATCCTGAGCCCCGTCTAATCCCCATTTTCTCCCTCAATTGAAAGTGAAGCACGGAACATCCAGCTGTAATGAACTTTCTGCGAAGCACCCCGCATCATACCACCCCTCCCCCTAAGAATTCTAGTGATTTCAAATGGCCCATACAGTGTTGTCGGAGTCAAGCACGAACCATCGTTTTCATCTTGCGCACAAACGCGGCTCCATTGGCTCGACTCCTGAGAAATAGAATTACTTCTTGGCTGGCCTGAGTAAGGCTTGGACCGGTTTGACCCCAAACAATTTGCGCATTAAGGAGCGCCGTTTGGTCCATCCGTGCTGTACCCATGTGTTTCCTGATGCACGACGGTGATTACAAAAATGACTCAAAGGCAAGCGCTGGGCGCAGGCTGGTCTGTAAGGGCATTTCGTAATGATGGTTGAGCTCCGCCAGAGCTATGACAAACTAAGGTAAGGCCGGATGTGGTAGTGCAGGGTGGGCCAAATTATGAAGACAGCGTGTACGCGTGGTCATTTTCTTTTTTTTCGACTTTCTCCATTTCCATCTCTTTTTCTGTGCACTGTATGATAGGGTACATTCCTCCTCCTATTAAAACCAAGTATCGCGCAGTTCTCAAATTTAGTGAAAAAACCACATCCTGGATCGTCTGGATTCAAATTGAACTTAGTAGGGGTTCTGGCACTTAACATTTAGCAGCAGTTCAACGAAGCACGGAGGCTCGTACGAGGGAACGGTTGAGAGCTCCAGATGTTTCGAAAGGAGCACAGTTAAGATGAAAAGGCGGAGTTCGATGATAAAGTGTCACACTACAATATATGTGCAGCTTACCGTTCATCTGTTCAGATTTAAGATGCCCAAGAGAAACTGATCTAAATTCAGCTGGACTCCTTATTACTCATATCTGTAAGTATAAAAAGCCTCTTAGAACTCCCTGAGACTTTTCACAGACGGCCCACGAGAAGACGAATCCCCAGAGCCCGGTTTTTCAGTTCCATGCCCTTTCGAATAAATTATTACATTGGAACCGTACTAATATCCCCTATGA